AATAATCTATATCATAACTAAGGAAAACTATAACTATAACTAGCTATTCTTAACTCCATCAAAGACTCAAGGAAGATACAATATTACCTAAGCAAAGAAATAAGCAACTTTCCAACTCTAGAAATGACAGAGACATCTTGCTGCCTGGACAGTCACCCAAAGTTCCTCTGTACCGTTGGGGCATCCATCTTCGAACTACAGGCCCATAGTTTCCAGCAGACATTTCCACAAAGCAGGAAATTTCAAAGACAGTCACTATCTGCTTGTCCTGAAGAATGTCTTGCAGACTCTTTTATGAATCAGGAACCCCAAAAGATCATCTCACCTTTAGGCAAGTTCAGCAGTCCTCTCTCTGCGGGTTCTCTGTGTCCAGTTTATGCAATAGTCCAGGCAAGAGCAGTTTCTTGCCCAAATGGCTATCAAACTCCATAAGGAGCCTCTTCGATGCCCATCTTCCTCTTGAAGTAGATTGGTGCTGCCAGGAGCAGAGTGTGTCATTGTCATGAAAAGTCCTAAGTTATTAAAACATTTAAAATGCCATATTCTCTACCCTTTGAAAGATATGAAAAATGCCTATCTAAAATATATCTACGCACATATAGAAAATCTTAACTAACATGACTACAAACTTGACTATTATGATTATCTATTAACAATCTATATACATTACATTTTTAAATGAACTACACAATCACAATACCTTAATAAAGATCAGAAATACATATACATATAACAAAACTGACCTTAAAATCTCTATCCATAAAGCAAAATCTATACTAATGCAAATTATTCCGAATGCAGACAGATTGTCAAAATATAGACAGCTTTAATGGAGGAATAGACTTACAGAACCACCATTCCTGTGGAGACCAGGAAAGCAGAAGTGAGGGCTGGGAGCACGCTCGCCAAATTTATAGGCAAACTTTAGCCTGAGGCGAACACACCCCCTAAGGGGTGGGACTTATCCCTACATGGTACGTATAATTTATTTGCACTGTTTATCTTGAGTGAATATGGACTTTGCGGGTTGTGGGGAGGAGTTTGAGACAAAGTCTCACCACAGACTCACTGTATAGGCCAGGCTTTGAACTCACGATCTGCCTGCCTCTTCTGAGTACTGGGATTAAAGGTCTGTAGCATGACTAGTGAGGTGGTCGATTTTCAATGCTCCTGGCCATGCTGATTTACTTTGAAACTGTCCTCCAGTTTTACTTGTCTTTTTCCTACTGAATTGTAAAAACTCTGCACATAAGAAAGCCCTTTACTAGCATATGCTGTGAATATTTTGCCCTTTAATCTTTCTTTTTTAATTTTAAAGGTTTGTTTTTTATGATGTGGTAAGATGCCCCCCGAAGCCTGAAGAGCCGAGGTGACACGGAACTAAACTAAACTCAGATCCTCTGCGAGAGCAACATGAGTACTGAGAAATCTTTCCAGCCTCCTGAAATTGTTTTTCATTATAGGGAGGGAGGGAAGGAGGGAGAGAGTAGGGAGATCAAAGGATAATTTGTGGGAATCAGTTCTTCCCCTATACGTATCCTAGGTGTAAGCTCAGGTTGTAAGATTTGAACTGCTGAGCAATCTCAGAAGCCCTCTTTCTTGTATGTGGTCAGATATTATTAGGATTGTTCTTTTTATCCTCTAGTTCTTAAGTCTCACAGACATCTTTCCCACTTCAAAACCTAAGGTTTTATATCCTAATATTCTTTTGGAGGGTGGGGATGGGGATGAAACAGGGTTTTTCTGTATAGCCCCAACTGTCCTAAAACTCTATACCTGGCTGGCTTTGAATGTAGAGAACCGCCTGCCTTTGCCTCCTAAGTGCTGGGATTAAAGGCATGTGCCACCACTGCCTGGCTATCCAAATACTCTTAGAGTTCATGTTCTTAAAAAAACAAAAAGATTTATTTTTAATTCATTTGTATGAATGTTTTGCTTAATTGTATGTAAAGGTACTACTTGTTGCCTAATGCTTGCAGAGCCAGAGGAGGGGCCATAGTCCCTGGAATCGGATTAAGGGTAATTAATTGTAGGCCATTGTGGGTGCATGGAGCTGAACCCAGGACCTCTGCGAAAGTAGCTAGTGCTCTTAACTGCTGACCTATCTATCTCTCTAGTTCCAGTTGATAACATTTGGTCATGAATCTTTCTGCCCAAGGAATGCCCTCAGTATCTGTTTTGGAAACACCCACATTTAACCCATGGTAGTGCAGGTCTATAATCCCTGTATTTTTAAACACAGGCCTAATTAAAAGCTAACCTTAAATTCAAGACCAGTTTTTCCTGCATAGAGTTCCAAGGAAGCTGGAGGTACAAAGTGATGCCCTCTTTCAAACCATGCAAAATCAAACAAACCCATTTGGCAACTTTTCATACTGACAGAAAAAGAATGCGTTTGCCAAAGAATTCCTGACTGCCAAGCTAGTCATGGAACCTTTGAATAGGATTTTTAAGATAATATATGTGGATAGTGCTTTCCTGCATGTATGTTTGTGTACCATTTGCATGCAGTAACCACAGAAACCGAAAGAGATTATTGAATCTGCAGACAGTTGTTAGCTGCTGTATGGATGCTGAGACTCAACACCCATGTCCTCTGGAAGAGCAGATAGAGCTCTTAACTCCTGAGCCATGTCTTCAACTCCCTGGATAGGGATATACTTTATATGCTTTAGGTTAGGAATGCTTGTAAGAACATAAATATGTACAGACATAATTACTCTTTTAAATTTTTATTGTTTTTCTGTAGAAGGAGCAGCGGGCTGCGTTCCTGCCACCCAGCTCCCGGCCGCCTGGCTAGCTTATGCCCCGAAGTCATTTACATGGAAACTGTATTCTTTTAAACACTGCCTGGCCCATTATCTCTAGCCTCTTACTGGCTAATTCTCACATCTTGATTAACCCATTTCTAATAATTTGTGTAGCACCACGAGGTGGTGGCTTAACGGGAAGATTCTAGCCTATGTCCACCTTGGGTCGGAGCTTCATCCCGTCTGCCATACTGCCTTCTACCCAGCATCCTGTTCTGTCTACTCTACCTATCTAAATCCTGCCCTATCAGAAAGCCAAGGCAGTTATTTTCTTTATTAACCAATGAGAGTAACACATAGACAGATGGCTCTCCTCCATCATTTTTCTGTATGCGTAGTGTCCCAGCATATATGTCTATACTTTAATGAGTGCCTGGTTTCCAGGGAGGCCAAAAGAGATCCCCTAGACCTGGAGTTTCCTACATGAGCTGTCATGTGGGCATTGGGAATCAAACTCAGGTCATCTAAAAGAACAGCTGGTGGTCTTAATTGCTGAACCATTTCTTTAACCATATAACAATCTTTTAAAGTTAGTCAAACACTGGTGGTGAGGGGCTAGGCCAGATCTTTCTATTTGATAGGCAAGTATTTTTCCATCATACTGTCTGTGTCCCTGACCTCTACTGCCCCCCTTCCCAGCTCCCTCTCACTCCAATTCAGGATTTCACTATGTGATTGTGGCTGTCCTCAAACTGGAGCACCTCCTGCCTCTGCCTCCTGAATGCTAGGATTATAGGCAGACATGTAGTACCGCAGCTAGATCTGCTTTTCACTTGCACTTATCTAGTTTGGAGTCTGCCATCAGACACTGAAATGAGCACACAGAACTGCTACACAGTTAAGTCTCTGCATTTCCACAGGGGACCTGGCAAAGCTTCTTGGAGTAGCCAGGAAAATTGCCAGTACTGAAGAAGATGCTTTTTCATTTCAACTGAGAACTTAGAAAGCTTCAAGATAGAAACCATCTCCCACAGTGCAGGAAGCCTTGATGAAGAGATCCATTGTGGTCAGGAGTCTGCGCTAGCAGGCACAGGGCACAGGGCTTCTCTGCACAACAGAAGAGCTGGCGACTCCTCAGAAGGAAGACACTGGACTCAGCTCACTTTGGCTTGACTGTGTTTCCCGTTGCTTGGAGCGCTTGCAGTATTTGTACAACAGAAACACCAAGCTACAGACTCCAAGTAGCAGAAGAGCGAAGAGCACATACAATGCTGTCTGTGCTTCTGTGATGCCCAGCATCAGCCCCAGGAAGGGCACTTCTGCCTTCACAGGGCTGGCAGTGGGCTCAGCATCTAGGAAAGGACAATGGGGACTCAGGCTCTGGCCATTCTGGAAAGGTCCCGCTGATCCTGCAGTCAAAAGACTGCATAGTACCCTCCTCCCAAACATACACAACAAAAGAAAGCTCAAGGCTGTGGTGTCGGCATGGATCACCTTCATGGTGGTGTTTTTGTATGTGCATACCATGATGCTCACGTATGAACAGAGCATAATTTCCAGGAGGTCTCTATTTCCACTTTGGGCTCCTAGTATTAAACTCATGCCATAACGCTTTTCCCTACAAAACCATGAGCCATCTCTCTGTGCCACCCCACTGCAACATTCTTTATTCACCCGAGACTGGTCTCATGTAGCCCAGACAGACCTCAGTTATGCCAGGTAGTCATGGATGACCTTGAACTTCAAATTCTACTGCCTCTACTTCCTAGGTACTCAGATGCAGGGCTGGGCAACTGTACCCTGTTTGTGTAGCACTGAGTATGGTCATAACCATTTCTGTTTTATAGTCACCCATAAGTACTAGCTGTAGTATTTATACAATCCTTAAACTTGACCTAGAAACTGCCTGGAAGTGTCTGTCCTTCTCAAGGAAGGCGCTGCAATGAGTTAGAGGTAGGACTGGAGGAATCTAGCTCTGCTCCTTCCCACAGCAGGGCCCAGTCTCTATGGTAAGACAGGCTCTGGAGAGACCTGCAGCAGCCAAAAGGTGCTTGGAGTGCATGCTAATGAAAGGAGGGGACAGAAGGGCAGGAGAAGGCCAGGAACTAGAGGAAGGCAGGTGGAAAGAGCAGCTCCCTCTCACCCTTGACCACACAGTGTTGGTCCCTCCCAGCGCCACCTACCCTCTGGTTGCTGGAGACAAGGGTGAGGTCCTTGTGCAGGGTCAGGAAAGCCATTGCAGCGCACTACAGAGGCATAGA